AAAAAAAAAAAAAAAAAAAAACTGCCATTACATTAAATTTTCTTCATGCTTTAAAGAAACAGTTCACCCAAAAATGAAAATTTGCTGAAGATGGCCTCACCCTCTGGACATTGAAGATGTAGATGAGTTTGTTTCTTCATCAGATTTGGAGAAATGTAGCATTGCATCACTTGCTCACCAATGGATGCTCTGCAGTGAATGGGTGCCGTCAGAATGAGAGTCCAAACAGCTGATAAAAACATCACAATAATCCACAAGTAATCCACACCACTCCAGTCCATCAGTTAACATCTTCAGAAGTGAAAAGTGAAGTCCATCTCCTGTTGTCCAGCCACATATTTGTTTAGAGCTGTAGTGGACTGTTTTGGCTTGTAAACGGTGCTTGATCTGTGCAGATTTCTCTCCTGGTTCAAACAAAATGACTTTTTCACTGGAGGAAGTGTTATTATCATTTTGGCCTGAAGCAAAAGTGTGAAGTTAAAATCCCTTAATGATGGAATTGTTTCTTACAAACACACAGCTTTTGTCTTCTCAAGACATTAACTGATGGACTGGAGTGGTGTGGATTACTTGTGGATTATTGTGATGTTTTTATCAGCTGTTTGGACTCTCATTCTGACGGCACCCATTCACATCCATGGGTGAGCAAGTGATGAATGCTACATTTCTCCAAATCTGATGTAGAAACAAACTCATCCTAATCTTGGATGACCTGAGGGTGAGTACATTTTCAGCTAATTAAAATTTTTGGGTAATCTGTACCATTAATTTTCATCTTTTATGAATAAATGTTCCAGTGTTTGGTGAAAACCTATTTCTGGTAAACAGCCACATCATGAGATATTCATATATTTGAGTTCAAATCTGAAACTCATCTCAAGCGTTCTTACACTCTGGTCGATATTTGTCAAGGCTGTTCATCCGGTGCACTTTTAGATGTTCTCTGAATCCACAGGCATTTTCTTTTCCTCTCCTCATTGTTTTTTCCTTCTGCGCAGGTTTGGTTTCGTCTCTCAGTGCCGCTTCCTTTCTCTGTTTTTCTTTTTCTTCAGCTGTATTTTGTTCTCTCACTGGCATCTCTTTTAGTTTTCCTGTCATCCTACTAGCATGAATATTCACAGAAAACACAAAAATATGAAAATGCATCACTGTTAAAGAGAAATCATGTAATTCTGACTGAACAAATATTAGTATAACAGAGTAATCATATAAAGAGTGCAGGACAAAAGTTTGGAAATCTGAGATTGTCATTCACCTGGAAAATATACTGGATGTTGAAAAACTAAGAAATTGCATTCAATGATGAATAAATATTTAACATTCTTCGCTATTTATAGGTTAGATAGAATGAATCAAATGTACACAAATGACTGATTACTGATTACGTGAACTCCTAAAAAGTGTAGCATTTGCACTGAAGAATGCAAGATGACCTTTGAAACATTTTCAAATCAAAGCTAAAAAGTGATATATTAAGACATTCTCAAATTAATGTACATATTTCTGCTTTCTCAGAACTCAAATTCTGCAATAGAAATGTTTAAAATCAGAACTATGCAAAATCCTAATCTAAATGCAATCTAGAAATGCTAAACATTCCATATGACACTCACCTACATCCAGATCTGGAAATATTTATTCCTTTTTTCAGATTTTGTTTCATTTAAATCCTTGAAGCAGGCAGCTACTGAAGCATCAAACCTCGTGTAATCACAGCAAAGAACAGCAGAATCGACCAGGAAATGACTGAGTAAATATGTCTATCAGCTTCTGTGACGCATGCAGCGACTGGAGAAAGTGCCTGAACTGGTTTAGCCTCTTTTCTTTCTTTTAAAATCGATCTTGTCTTTGTTATTTTCATTACAATAACTGATGATGCAAATCTCTGGTGATGAGTTCTCATTATAGTGTTTGGCCATAGCAAGAATAAAGACATTTAATACCATATCAGGTCACACAATGAGTCCACTGCTGATTTAGCTTACACAAATATAACTAGAGCACATCAAAACCTGTTTTCAAAGTATTTGCATTCAGTTTGTTCCATTACAGAAAGATTTACTTTTTTACTGCATGTGTGTCTCGTCTCTACTGAATAATCCAGATCTCAGGGTCAGATCTACAGATCTTGATGGCTGGAATCCAACAACATAACAAACCACAAACCTGCACTAAAATGAGCCAAATCAAAAATAAAACAAACAAACAAACAAACAAAAACTTTCATATGCTAAAACTAACTCAGCAGCATCAGGTCCATATGCAAAATTTATTTCAAATTTCAAACCCATAATAACAAGTCCTGAGGCACGAGCCAAATACTGATGATGCAAATCTCTGGTGATGAGTTCTCATTACAGTGTTTGGCCATAGCAAGAATAAAGACATTTAATACCATATTAGGTCACACAATGAGACCACTGCTGATTTAGCTTACACAAATATAACTAGAGCACATCAAAACCTGTTTTCAAAGTATTTGCATTCAGTTTGTTCCATTACAGAAAGATTTACTTTTTTACTGCATGTGTGTCTCGTCTCTACTGAATAATCCAGATCTCAGGGTCAGATCTACAGATCTTGATGGCTGGAATCCAACAACATAACAAACCACAAACCTGCACTAAAATGAGCCAAATCAAAAATAAAACAAACAAACAAACAAAAACTTTCATATGCTAAAACTAACTCAGCAGCATCAGGTCCATATGCAAAATTTATTTCAAATTTCAAACCCATAATAACAAGTCCTGAGGCACGAGCCAAATGAAGTCTAGGAAACAAAAAGTACAAATAATATAATTCAAAGCAGTCATCCATGAACTACAATATGTGACCCAGGACCACAAAACCAGTCATAAGGGTCCATTTAAAAAAAAAATTTATTTATACATCATCTGAAAGCTTCCCATTGATGTATGGTTTGTTATGATAGG